TTAGGAAATGTTATCACGCAAATAGTTATTACTAGTAGAAAAACATCTACAAGCAAAATCTAATATTAACAATAGAGATATACATGTAAGTCAATCCAATGAGTCATCGTCTTAAGACAATGACTGTTTTCGACCTGTCTCAATCATTGCCATTCATGCGAAAATAAGTCAGTACAAATCGTCATTGTTACCAAATATACATAACTGGAGCTGATTACTATCGCTGATTATATATCAACTTGCATCTTTAACCTATCAGAGGCGATCATTGATGACACTAGGTAGAATTTGAGTTGGTACTTGTATTGTCGGTGGTACTGATTGATGATAAGCCGAAGCCTGCTTGATGTGTATGAGACCGGTCAGTTCTTGATACTTGTAAAGCAACAGCACTATATAAAATTAAGTATATAAAGCATGTAATTGGCATAATAACACCAGTAGGTAATTAAACTTTTATTAATGCTAAACGATTATTTCCACAACTATTTGAATGGTCATCAAATAGACAACTTCATGAGATACATAAATTATTTATACAAGATAACTTTTTACATATCTGAGAAGTAATCTATTTTTTGTGACATACGATTTGCATCTGTAAAGTGTAGATGATGCATATGAAAATCTCAGAGATACAATTGGTAGGGTTTTTTCGTTACTGGTACCTAGCAGCGTTCTAAACTAGTCGAACCGATCCGAATCAACCTGTAGACTGGCATGAATGATTGTTCATTTTTTTCGTTGTTTAACAGTCAGATTGAACGATCGATTGGTCATATCCACCTCTGATTCACTATAGTAACGATGCAAACCTCTTATTACACTACTACAGCTCTTTTTCCGATTTATTTTCATAAGGTTTCTCTCTCTCTCTCTTTATATATATCGGTGAACAGAAAAGTTCATAGGACTAAAACTCTTGTATTAGTTTCGTACAATGATTAAGTGGTCGTCCGACATTGACATTGTTAATATTCAGTATATTTACTTTAGTATCTATCATGTCTTTACAAAATAAATGCTATAAATAACAGAATTTACAAATAAATGTATGAAAAACTTCAATAAGAATTATTTGATTTTGTTTCGATAACATAAATTGATATCGATGATAGTTGATAAAATACATTAAATGTATTATGATGCCCTTTCACTTCATAGAAATACTCTGATGCATATTTTCTCAGGAAAATCAATCAAAAATCCCCAAAACAAATCTAGATGAGCCAGTAAAGAAAAAGTTGTGTCTACCGACCATTTGCCGTTACCGATTACAAATCCAGCAGATTTAATTTCTATGTCAATTTGATCAGTGCTGGTAAGAGCCAAAAAGCAAACATGCTAAAAATGTTCTGATCTATTTAAAAAAGCATTTTAATACATTCGCATATATGATTCAGAAGCTCGTATAGATAAAGACTACTCATTTGATCATATGTTGAATATATCAAATCAATATTTTTCGTTGTGACGTCAATGACTAGAAAACATTTTTTGATGTCATGCCTGACATGATATCTTAAGCTGTTTGTTTACTTCTATGGCTCATCCATATAACGAAAAAAATGGTCCGATAATAGTACGAGGAATAGAAATCATATTGACGTCTAAGAAAACTCATCGATGACGATAATATGACTCACGAGTAATAGGTAACGTGAATGTGTATAAGAAGAAAAGGATACGAGTGTAAAGTCACACTCATATTTCCCAGCTCTATTTCATCATATTGATAATCGATTTTTATTTTTATTTTTTTTTGCGCTTGAGTAACTCACTCATATAAATAGCACCAACTAATTTGTGTTAAAAAAGACAAAAAATAAATATTATAAAAATCTTGACTTTTACAAATGTTGTCTAATGAACAATCGCATCCTCATTCAAAAAAACGACATAGTAAGTTATGATTTTATTTCATTTATTGAGAAAATAATTCTTATCATCTTTCTAAAGATCAAAGAAAAAAAGATTCACATACATATGATCATTATGTACGTGATCATACAAAATCAGCTGAAAATTTTTCAAATGCACGTACAAATATATCGAATGATGTTGAAAGAAGTCAACCATCTAAAAATTTGACTAAACAAGAACTTCAACAACGTCAGCTCATTCAACAATATATTTTTTCTAAACTCGAAGCTTATACTAAAAAACCTCGTCTTTGGCAATTAAGACGATCATCACATATAAAGCAACATCTTCGTCATAAATCAGGCCATATAGCAAAACTTTATTCTTTACCTACAGATGTTGTACATGAGTCAATGGATCAATTCTTTATTCATGTTGATAATTGTGTTTTAAAATTACATCGACTTATACAAAATAGATCAAATGGATCAATTGAATCAAATGTTCTATTTCAAAAAATGAAAAAATCTAATAATCAATGGCGTTTGTTACAATTAGAACGTGCAAAACAAATCTTTCCAAATATTAACAATGAAGAATTTACAGAAAATGAACTTTTACAAAAATATTATACTCATATTATTGAAACATTAACACCAAAACCGGATACAGCAAGTTCAAATTGTATTGCACAATTTCGTGAACAACCATTTGATTTAAATCGTGCATATGAACAAGCAGAACGTAAAGGAAAAGATTATTTAGTACATAGGTTACAAAATTATCGTGAACGTTCAACACCTGATTTTGAATTAATTCAAGAAATGATTAATCTTGGTAACTATAAAGATAAAAAGTTCAAATGAATCTAACTGATATTTTTCTTTAGGTTTTGAACATATGAAAACAGGACCAACAAAGGAAGATTTTGAAAGTGCAACAAATTTTCTAACGAAAATTTCCCTACTTCATAAAATAAAACAAGCATATGAAAGTAGTTTACATAATGTGGCTGATGAGTTTATGATATCACGTTTTGGTAAAGTTTATGGACTAAATGCATTATCTACAACAACACGTTCAAATACACAATTTATATATTTGATTGATTTATTTCTTAAATCTATTTCGCAACTTACTATGATGATAAAAACAACACCTGATGATAATGAAGAAATTTCATCAGTAATAAATAGTGCTATTGGAAAATTTTTTTCAACTAAAGAAAATTTATCAATTATTAAATTAAATAATGATGATCTTTTTTCACCAAAATTAAATATTGATCAATGGACATGGTTATTAGAAAAATGGCGCGATGCTTTACGAACATTTCCAATGATGCTTACACAAGTTGGTGCATTTGGTCGTTTATTACGTACAACAATTGGTGTTGGTATTGCACGTTTATTTAATTTTGCTGAAACAATGGTTAGTAATAATCAAATATTAGATTTACTACTTATGAATGAACAATTATTTCGTGCACTTCAAATAGGTTTTTATTTTGGTATTGCATATGCTATTGTTGATTGTATACAGGATGAAATTCAAAATTCGAATACAATTTCTTCACAACATTTAGCATTTTTTAAAATAGAAGAATATGAAAATGAACGATTATTAACACCAGTTGAAATAATAGATAAATGGCTTTTAATTATGGAAGATTTATTAAGTGGAGGAGAATTTAATCGAAAAGAAATACCCAAAACACCATTGACACCATTATTATTAGAAACATTTGATAGTCTTATTTCATTGACGAAAAGTATTAATGTAACAAACGTAGTTTTTAATGACTTGGCTCTTTTATTAAGATCACAAAGAATGGATAAAAAAACAATGGAAAATTTTTATGATGATGTAGAACTTTACTTAGGTAATATTTTATTTTTAATGGAACGTCAAAACTTTTTCACTTCTTGTTTTCCAAAACCTTTTTTATGCTTACAGTACAATTGAATTAGTAATGTTTCGGATGAAATTGAGAGAAAAAACAAGTTTCGGTCATTCTTATCTTTATCAAAAACCTATATTTGCCTTTAGACAGTAAGCAAAATATTTAATTCTATAATGAATTTTCTTATTGCATATGTCTATAATATTGATGACAAATATGATTCTTCTAATAACCCGTAACTAACAATTGAACTACAATAGTTATCTTCTCAGAAGTTATTCAGATAAACATAGAAATTTTTTAATTATAGAATTCAGTAATATGATAAATGTAATTCAATTGAGTATATACAGACGAAGTTGAGCTATTCTGTAGATAAAAATTTTTTTTCATACTATATAATTACATACAAGCTAAACTGTCAAATGTAGAGAAAACAATGATTATCTCTAATTATCGATCAGTAAATAATACTTGAAATTATTCTTTATAGGAGCTATGCTCAAATCTCATTTTTCATATACATGTACAATTTATATGGCTAATATTCAATCTACTTCTGAAGAAAATGAACGTCTATGGACAATGCCATTTATAGCTCAATTAACTGATGATTGTCGAGATTTTTATGAGGATTTTCAATCGAATTCTGTTACTTCATTTACACATTATGCATCATTTATTGGTCGTCAACAATCATCAGATAAACATCTACTTAATCCATTTTATGTATTTTTATATTCTTGTTGTGATATGTATTTATCATCTGGTCGTGATATTCAAACTGGTGCTTTTGTTGGTCGTCGTATAGCACGTACATTAAGATCAATTGAAATAAATTTAGGTGCATCAGCATTACGTGAATTTCTTTATTTATTTTGCCATGATAACTTACCATTACATAATTATTTTTGGATAAATCTTCGTAGTCATTTTCCTAATGTAAGTGATCCAGAAAAATCTTTCATTCGAATAATTAATAAAGCAAGTATACAATATGCACAAATAAATCGTAAATTAGAAACATATGTTGGTGATCATTTAAAACAAATTGAAGATGCTTTACATATTCATTCATTTAATAACAATCAAAAACCATCATCAGATATTGATAAAGATGAACAATTATTAATCTCAGCTATGAATTATAGTGTAAAAGCTGGTGGTAAACGTTTACGACCATTATTAATGATGATGGTTTCTGATTTGTACAATCTAGAATTGAAAAATATGTTACCATTAGCTTGTGGAATTGAATATTTACATACATCATCACTTATATTTGATGATCTTCCAGCTCAAGATAACAGTGATTTAAGACGTGGTCGGTCAACATTACATAAAACAGTAATAGATAATGATATACCAGAAAATTTATGTGAAGGTCGAGCACAATTAGCAGCCGTTGATTTAATTGCTGTTAGTATGAGTTTAATTAATCATGATCTTGTTAAAAATGGATTTTCACCTGAACGTGTTAATCAAGTTATTAATGAAATATCTTTATCAATGCATGATTTATGTATTGGACAAATGATGGATTTACGTGCAGCTCATATGGGTATGGAAAAAGAAAATGAACTACTTGATGAACTTGATCATATTGCATGGTTCAAAACAGGCAAAGCAATTGAAGTTGTACTTATTACACCAGCTATTTTAGCTATGTCATCATCATCATCATCATCATCAGTAAATATTCAATCAATTGATTTAAATAAAATTCGTGAATTAGGTCGTTTAATGGGAATATTGTTTCAAATGCGTGATGATTTATTAGATGTTGAAGGAGAAAATATTGGTAAACCAGCAGCACTTGATGTAAAAAACAATACAGTTACTTATGTATCAATATTAGGTGTTGAAGGTACTCGACAACGTTTAAAAGAATTTCGTCAACAAACATTAAAATTAGTTAATGAATGTTGGCCATCAGGTGCTGGAACAATTAGAGATGTTGTTAATTATATCGTTGATAGAAAAAATTAAGAAAAATAATAGCTACTCTTGCTCTCGAAATAGTCCAACTTAAATTTGTGTTTTCAACTCTTAATTCATCGCCATGAATTGTCTTTTCTTAGAGTGATTACGTATTATTCACCAATACTTTATGCATTTTTTTTTGTATATATATTCTTATAATCCTGATTCTCTTCAAATGGTAATATCATATACATTTTAGTGTTACAACAGGTAGACACACTTTATCTATGTAGCAGCTAGTATAAATTTTTTCAAGCTTTGACATGTTTCTTCGAAAATTTGATAATAAAGCTGTTTTTTTCTTCGCATATCAAATCATATTATTGAAACAGCATGAAATCAATCTTTGTCATTGTGATTTATTACATATATATTATGTAGAATTTGTAGTGCTGTGAAATTTTACGTACATCGATAGATGCAAAGACAGAGAAAACTTATAGAAACCAATAGTGAAGAAAAAAACTTTCAGCACAATTTCTATGAGACTAAAATATTAAACATGATGGCGCTATTATAACTATTGTGAAGAACTCAAAGGAAAACACTGTATGGTGTTCGTAATGTTGATACTAGACTTGGCATAGCCAGGTAATCATAAAAGACAGTTTTGGCATATTCTTGAAGTACAGAATTTTCGAATTCTCTCCATGGGGGAAATTTCATCATCTACATGAAAGACCGCTAAACCGTTGCAGACATATCAAAATCTCTCTCAGTCTGATATTTCGCTACATGGTAACGACTGGTTATGTCTACGTTGACGAACAGCTCAAATTTTCATGTATCATTAATTGATATGAATTATGGAAAATAAGCAAAAATTGCTTTGATGATTCACAAGACCAGATAGCATACTTGACTCATAAATGACACAAGCTCAATAAAATAATCATGTCACAAAGAATCTAGTATATGTGTCTGAAAAGCGATATGAAACAGATGAAACAGCAAGCAAAATAACACAAACATTGCTTGCTCAACTTAGAGCAGCTGTTACGAGCAGACCTGCAGCAATATGTGCGAGACAATAATGCTAATTTTTGTCCTAGAAATGGTTTCTTGATAAAGAAAATCTACTGATCTTTTGTTGCTTCATGTTACTACCTTTTGATTCGAAAACAACTGCATGTCTAATTGCATTACATAAAAAAGATGCTCAACATGTAGAAGTATGTTGCGTCATTATGAGTTGTGAATAGGATAGTCGAAATACGATCTAATATGATAAATCACTCATGAAATAATCATTGGGTGAAAAAATTATTTCGATTGAATCAAAAACGGGGTAGAAAATAAGTGAGAACGTGGTCAAAAGTCAATGATACTATATTTTGTAAATGGTACAGAGGTCTCACTTTCATCGATTATTCTTTATATATCATTTATTGTCTACCATAGCGCCGACAAGTAATACTCAACATGGACTGATTTTCGAGTTTTCAAAAAAGCTGTTTTATCTTAGTACTTCTAATTAGATTAATTACTTTTATAAGTATAAACATGGAACTGCACAGTTAATAATATCAATAATTGATTTTATTGTTGAATTAAGTTTAAATAGACTCTCTTGAAATATTTTCATTGTTTGTAGTTTCTTATCAAGTGATAAAACTGAAAGAATATTATAGATATTTGTCTGATTAAAAAACAACACTTTAATATTGATTGAAAATAAGTCAAAAATTTTTAATTGTTATTAACGTTTCATTTTATTTACAAATAGAGAATGTATTTTCTCTAGATTAACGATAGCTTTCAAAAATTCATCGACAATAATAATCATTGTAACAATCACACACTATTTTATTTATTTTGTATATAATCTATAAAATATTCTGTATTCTAATTTCGATGTAAGTAAAACGATTCAAGTGACCTGTCAAGAGTGCAGTTATAAATAATGATGGCACCAGTATTCCGTCAATATCTTGATGAGTTCTCATCTGAGAGACTTGGGTTTAACTGAAAACTAAATTTTGCTGTTCAATTCTGTAGCAAACTATATCCACAGAATATATGCAACATGTAATCATGAAATCGAACGAATATCAACACTCGTATGCGTAGAAAAAAGTCACTATCTAATTAATGTTTTGATCTTTTTAATTTTTTTGACGATATTTGGTCTCGTGGACAAAGGTTTTTTTTTGCAATATTCATTATGTTAGAAGAAAATAATCTATGATTCATATTCACTTTTCAAGAAAATATGTCCTTAGAATTTGAGTATTGTATCGTAACAAATTGCTTTGAATACTATGAAAAAGAAACCGAACTTGAAGATGCGTCGCATCTCTTTAAATAGCATGCTACAATACTTTTTTCACGTATTTTTTGTAGAAAAATGAATAGAGAATTTCCTGAACCTAAGTGCTAGTCTCGATGGCATCATCTTATTAAAATACTGGCGATATCATTATATTTAAATCGTACTTTTTATTATTTTATTCGTTCAAATTTTTGATTAAATTTTATTATTATATATCATTTTATTTAGAAATGAATAGAAATGTTTTCGTTTGTTTCCCCGAGAAACAAAGAGCTTAGAAAAAAAAAAGTATTTTATACTTAAATACGAAACAATAAAGATGCAAACGTAGGATCTCCAATCAGAGAACGCTGACAATCTATTAAGATTAACATTTAAAATAGAAATATTTTATTACAGTCGAAATGAATTGAATACTCTTCGTATCATATAGTAAATAATAAAGTACAAAAATTGTCTCGTACTGCTATTCAGGGTGTGGGTGTGAGTGTTGGTCTTCTCATCACACCCACACCCACACCCACACCCACACCCACACACATCCACACCCACCCTCATTAAGATAGACAAGCTTCCATTTATGATTACAGCAATGGTTGCGACCGAAAACATAACTGCAAGTTCCATTAGTCATAGCTGTCTTGCTGCTTGCTACTCATTAAGCGCTTTAATACTCCATTATTTTCGAGCAAATACCTCATTAATGCATGTAAATTAAACTATTTTTTATGCCTTTAAGTTTCATCTCAATCCACTTGAAGATAATCACTTATACGTTACCCATGAAAGCATAAGCGATGCACTACGCTGGCTGTCGTCGTTCTCAACACAAGTAACCAGGAGTTGTTCAAGATATCCGATTCTTCTGAATCCACTCCTTTTTCCCACTGAACTCAAAAGTACATATATTGCTCATCCGTACGGAGTCTAGGTAACCTTCCCAAACAGTCTAGTGCGTTATTACTCGATAGAGAAATTTCTTGCAGGATATATTATTTAACACGCACTCCGTGCTTCATATTAGGCAACTTTTCATTGTCTAAACTTATTTCCAACTTTTAAATTATCCAATACAACTGGAACCTACTGCATCCCTAAAGTAAATCGTCAACTGTGCTAAAACTTTATCATCTTCAAAAAAAATACCGCAATAGTTCTCAACCAAAATGCAAATCTCATGATTTTATTTTGGGGAGAAAATTTAAAGAACTATTACTATCTCTTTTTTAATTTTTCAATCTTTCCTTTCACAAGTAACACATGAGGATGAGTAGCATGAAATGACTTTTCAAAAACTCCTAGACCCCTTTCGTACGATGAAAGTGCTTTCGAGTACTCGCTCATGTGATAAAACACTGAAGCGATGTTGTTGTAGGAAGTAGCCAAGTCAGGATGATTTGGAGGCAGAGCTACTTTTCGGATTTCAAGTGATCTTTCGTACGATGAAAGTGCTTTCGAGTACTCGCCCATGTTATCATACACTGAAGCGATGTTGTTGTAGGAAGTAGCCAAGTTAGGATGATTGGGAGGGAGAGCTATTTTGTAGATTTCAAGTGATCTTTCGTGGGATGAAAGTGCTTTCGAGTACTCGGCCATGTTATCGTACACTGAAGCGATGTTGTTGTAGGAAGCAGCCAAGTCAGGATGATTTGGAGGCAGAGCTATTTTTCGGATTTCAAGTGATCTTTCATACGATGAAAGTGCTTTCGAGTACTCGCCCATGTGATTGAACACTGAAGCGATGTTGTTGTAGGAAGTAGCCAAGCCAGGATGATTTGGAGGTAGAGCTATTTTTCGGATTTCAAGTGATCTTTCGTACGATGAAAGTGCTTTCGAGTACTCGCTCATGTGATAAAACACTGAAGCGATGTTGTTGTAGGAAGTAGCCAAGTCAGGATGATTCGGAGGGAGAGCTATTTTTCGCATTTCATGTGATCTTTCGTACGATGAAAGTGCTTTCGAGTACTCGCCCATGTTGTGATATATCATACCGATGTTGTTGTAGGAAGTAGCCAAGTTAGGATGATTGGGAGGGAGAGCTATTTTGGAGATTTCAAGTGATCTTTCGTGCGATGAAAGTGCTTTCGAGTACTGACCCATGCTATCATACACCATAGCGATGTTGTTGTAGGAAGCAGCTAAGTCAGGATGATTCGGAGGGAGAGCTATTTTGGAGATTTCAAGTGATCTTTCGTACGATGAGAGAGCTTTCGTGTAGTCACCTTGTTGAGCTGCGGCCATTCCGATCGTGTTGAGCACTGCTGCACGCTCATTTTCAGTGGAGGATGTCGTGAATATGTGGTTGCAAATTTCATCAGCTGTGTTGTAATGATTGAGCTGAAGCATTAAGCCAGCCAGACGATCCCAGCCGGCTCCACCGATTTCATGTTGTAGATAATGTGTCAGAGTAGATAATTGTGGATCGTCGTCCTTAGTTAGAGTGAGTTGTATTTCCCATAGATTTGTCTTGTCGGGTACCTGCTTGATTTCGTTGATACGAAATACCGTGTGCATAGAAAAGAGAACTTCTTCTTCGTCGGGAAACTGCCCTATCTCTTTGATATAGGCAAAAGGAGTGGATGAAAATGACGCTGTAATAGTCATTATGAAGAGAATTCCGACGAGGTTGGCTGCTGAAGCGCTACTTTCTGCAAACATCAGAGAAGCGTCATAACTTCGGCTGGTGGATAAAAAGTTATTAAATGACAGAAGACCACCTTTCGTATTTTTGAGTTTCTCAAATTCGGCTTTGCACAATCCCTGTCCTCTGTGAACAACAAAGGGTTGATTCTCCGTTTTTTTAAATTGTTGTGTATTTAATTGTTTGAGCTGACGATGAAGATCTTGAATAAAGAAGCTCATTTTCTTCATGGTTTGAGTATTGAGTGTTCTAATTGACCAGTTAAGTGTTTGGTAAATGAATCGTGCATGTATATACCACGAAATTGACTTCTCAGGACTGTAGTCCTTTTCGAACTTTTCGATGGTACTCAATGCTTTCTTGTTGTCGGTATATTCACTACGCCAAAATTGAATAAAATCTTTGATTTCTTCTTTACTGTGATGGATTTCCAGCACACATTCTTTAAACAATTGTGTGTACATGAACGACGGGTCTAGTTGATCGAGATTTATTTTTGAAACATCTTGGTTCATGCTGAGACAACTCATAGCGATATCATTTCGGTCACATTGTATGCTGGCATCTTGCAGTGCTTTACAAAGACGCATGAGATCTGTGTATATGCCTTTAATTTTGCTTGAACTGTTGTTCCAATGGTGGATTAGGGCTTCGGTACTGCAGAAGACGTAAACACCCTCAACACCAGGAATATCATGGACGATGGGTATCATGTCTTGATCCTTAGTGTTTGACAGAATGAGAAATGCCTTTTGATCATTGATGTCAGTGAGAAAATCTACACCTTCATCGGGTTGGGTGAAAATATATACCTCATCGATCATGTTTTGCAGCTGAGCCAGTGTATTTTTACATTTTTCATTGTGTTGATCAAAATTCTCATCGATCCAGATAATCATATAGCTTTTAGTCATAGACTGCGATGATTCTATGACGTTTGATACTGATGTGGTATTGGTTGTGGTACCTATCGTGGATGTAGAAAGCATTTCATTTGATTTTTGCCCACTCATTTTGAAATTTTTTGCTTGTTCATAAGAATTTGAGAATGAAAAATTGCTTTGAATTCAAGCAGAAATAATAATTTGTATTGACACAGCAGAGACCTTTTTTCTTCAATTTTTTTACGACGCAGATGTTCTTTTGTTTATTGACATTCAATAGCAAATTTTAGGTAGTCGGAGATCGAAATTGTGTCGTAAGCAGGTGAGGAGAACGAAAAGGATGCAGTGTCGTAATGTATTGATTGCTTCTTTTCAGAGATTTAAAAACAATTATTGTTCTATCTGGCAGGAACGAAAATAAAATATTACCATGCGTACTTTGATTGTTTATATTTTTCCAAACACCTTTCGATTACGCGAACGAAAAGACGCTCAAAGACAATGATTTTAATCGTAATCACCATTGGAAATTGAGCTTTCTCTTTACCCAATATGCCACGCATGATTAAGCAACGACTTGTGTAACAACATAGCAATTTTTTCCTGTTCATTTCTCTAGCTCTCGATTTACAAATAGCGAGAGGAGGATGAATCGATGAGATAGACTAACCGTCTTACATCTTTTGCATATTGTTCCGAGTATAAGGCAGGTACGGCAAGAAATGGCCCGAATCCGTAGTAGACATGTGTAGCGGAGTGTGGGTGTGGATATAGGGTAAAGTAGGCCTCAGAGAAGAAGACACCCACGCACAAACCCTCAAGATTTGATGAAAAGAGTTAGTCCAAGAAGAAGAATTTTGTAAAACAAGATTTTATCTAATTTTTCAAACTGCAAATTTTATTGAATTAGCAAGAACTTCTTTGAATGTTGCCTTTTTCTCGTTGATGAAGTATAAATCTAGAATAAGTGATGGTCAATATATCTTGCCTTGGACAACGGGAAAATTATTCTTGTATTACTATTGTGTTGAGTGATGGATGTCAAATTTCGTATCACTCGGCTGTAATGTCAGAGAGCGTGGGTGTTGATGTGATTGTTTATCTGATCTGCTGTGACAACCACTCTCTTCCATTATTGACTATTTCAAGGCAGTAATCAGAAATAAAATTTTGTTCTATTCTGTAAAGACCTATGCAGTGTGCTGGTATATGAGAAAAGAGAATACCAATGTCCACAAATAGAAGGGTAAATGAAAAGTATACATCGAAGAAAATATGATCTTATTTAATCGTCATGCATTTTAATCAACAGCTCTTGCTGAAATTTTATTATCATTATATTAATTAAACAATGGTGAAATATTACAGAAAAATAGAGCACTGTTTGTTGCTATCACTGCACATACAGAGAAAGTTTATTCAAGCTTTATAGACGAATATGAAATATTTCTGTCAGTACTTTCGGATTTCTCTCACTACTATAGTATTTTATATAATTAGTCACCATGGGATCATTTTTCTATTCCACGGGAAGTCTTGTTGCATGTACTTCTCTCAGTACCAAATACAAAGATCACAGAAAAAAAACTGTAATGTCAGAATACGGACTAATTCAATATTACAGAACAAAAAAGCTAAGTATGTGTGTGCATGACATGAAAGAGAGAAAACAAATATGTTTCACGAGGTATTTTTCGCGGAAGAAGAAGAAAGTGTAAAGAAGAAATCAATCCTTACATTATTGTTTTGGAAATAAAAACAACTAGTTAAATATGTACTATTTCTCAGAATCGCCTGAAGAGACGAAAAGAAAATTAACAAGAAATGGAAGCTCTATAGAAGACAAGTGGCTATAACTGATAAAATTACTTTTTGCATACAAGCTCTTTTAGTGGAGGGTGTGGGTGTGGATGTGGATGTGTGTGGGGTGTGGGTGTATGCGTGTGGGTGTGTGTGGGGTGTTGGTGTAGGTGTGGATGTATGCGTGTGGATATGGTTGGGTGTGTGGGTGTGGATGCGGATGCGGATGTTGGTCTTCTCTTTCATTAACACGCAAACCCACGGTCACATCCACACCCACACCCCCATCCACAAAACAAAAGAAAGAAAAAAAAAGCACTATATATATTCGTCCACATCTGAACACATTGAAAATTTAGATTGAATATTGAGTATTCGTCCATGGAAAATGTTAAAATCAAAAGTGATTCATCTTTCTAGTCCATTACCTTCGTTACATGATGGTTCCTTATCGAATTCGTCTCGATATAATAAATCATCAAAACAATGTTGTCGAACTCGAACTCCATCATTAGACTCAATAGACAATGATAAATATGAACAACAAAACGACAAAAATAATGAACAAGTTAAACTACATTTTAAACAAACTTTAAATATGCCTTCAATTCTAACAAGATTAGCTATACCACAACGTACTGTTTCTCTCTATATGCCACCAGCTAAACTTTATCTTTTACAAGTAAGATAGTTTGAACAAATCAAAATAGATGTTTATGTCTTTTTAGGGTTTACTGACTGATAAATTAACAGTAGAATATCAACGTTTATCATGGGATGCTTTAAAAAAGTCGATTAATGGTCAAATTAATAAAGTGAACACATTGAACTTGTCAATAATTATCCATCAATTATTTAAACATAATATTGTTCGTGGTCGTCGTATCCTTGCTCGTATTATTATTCAAGCACAAATAGCATCACCATTTTATACACCTGTATATGCAACATTGATTTCTGTTATTAGTACAAAATTTCCACAAATTGGTGAATTAATTCTTAAACGTCTTATATCATCATTTCGTCAAACATATCAACGAAATGACAAATGTAAATGTTTAGCAACAACAAAATTTATTCCACATTTTATTAATCAAAATGTTGTGTGTATTTAAAAAAAAACAAAAAAAAAAAGATTATCTTTCTTTTTGTATTTAGTTACATGAAATAGTTGCATTACAAATGCTTGTACTTTTACTTGAAAATCCAACTAATGATAGTGTTGAATTAGCTATTCTATTTTTAAAAGAATGTGGACAAAAATTATTACAAGTTAGTTCACGTGGATTAGATTCAATATTTTCAACATTAAGAAATTTACTTCATGAATCATCATTAAATAAACGTATACAATATATGATTGAAGTTCTATTTGCTGTACGAAAAGATCAATTTAAAACAAATCCAACTATACAATCTGGTCTTTATTTAATTAATGAAAATAATCAATATATACATATACTTACATTAGATGATCCATGTGAACCTGAACCAATGCTTGATAAGATTAATGTTTTGTAAGTTATATATGATATGATTTTCTTTGTTCTTTTTCTTTGTTTAGATGTATTTAAATATGATGAACAATATGAAGAAAATGAAGCAAAATATAAAGAAATTCGAAAAATAATTCTAGATGAAATTAGTGATGATGAAAATGAATCAAGTTTTTATTCAACTGATAGTGATGAAGTTGATGATTTAGGAAAAAGTAAGTAGAAAATGATATTTATTCAGAATTATTCAACGAAAAGTTTTCAAAGAAAAATAATTTAATCATTTGCGTCAATATATCATTTATTTATCCGTTTGTGTAAGTCAAAATGAAACAATAACGAAGCAATTAAGTGTTTGAGATAAAATAATTTTTTTTATAACTCCATGATTTCCTAATGAGGAAACCACTTGCAAAGTAATTCATCACTTGTAAGCTCATATTTTAGGCATATAGATAGAATGTGTTGACTTGAATAAATCGAAAAAGATTCAAGTTCATAAATCTTTATCGAATTAGTATAGTTTTGCTCGATTTTTAACAGAGAATGTGATGTTGACAAAGCAATTAAAGAAAAATGTTTTGTCGACAGATAAGTCTCTGATCTTAAGTGCTTACTTCCTTTTTGGAATATTTTAAGAAGGAAGTAAAAGAGTTTTGATTAAAACATTTGAGATATTCTTAATATGATGAGATTCATTTATCGACAAGTTTTCAAGTCAAAAATCTTTTCTTCAATTTTCCTATGAAAAGTTCTTCCCATGTTAGAAATCCAACAAAACAACTGTAGTAAATCTGTATAAAAAGACTATAAGCTGAAATTCTTTGGCAGTTGTTCTAGGCTAGAATTTCATTGTATATGTCAATACATGTTGTATAGTTGATATTTTTTGATTAAATTATGTCTAACGTTTTCAGTGGCAATAATTGGAAAACATTCGAAATTGAATAGTTAGTCATGTAATTAAAAGATAGCAAATGTTGAATTAGTTGATTATTTTATTTTTATTTTTTCAGAAAAGAATATGTAATCTCTTTGATATTGATGTAGTAGCAGTACTTTATCAAGATTTTCTCTTTTGAATATGTGATTTAAAACTTGAGGATGACTTATATCTATTTTTGGAACAAATAGAAACATAGTATCGGTTATAATAACCAGAAATTATTGAAGAATCAAGCAGATCTTGAGACGAGCATGGATTTGTCGGCTCTAATGCTAAATAAAACATTGTAATAATTGAGAATATTTTTCATAGAATCTATGAAATTCAATGAGAAATAGAAAATAGATCATTTGTTATTTAGAAAATATGTTATCATCAATCGGTTAATTTCATAGATATTAAGATCGAATTAATTCAAGAAAAAAAGTCATATCAAGTTTTATTGAGTATAAAATAAGAAAACGATATGTTCCTTTTAACTTTTCAACATGATCCTCCAAAAAGTTCATTTTTTTTCTTAAATCTCAAATATTTTACACTGTTTTCAAGAAAAATATTCGCTTCTAGATTTTATAAGTTCTACTTCAGTTAATCAATCAATATTATTAAATATTCACATGATATTAAAATCATTTTTCTTCTCAATATAACAATCAAAATTCGTTTGATTTTCTTTGAAATTTTGTAAAGATTAATGATTAAATATTTTCATTGACAAACATTTGTTTTCTTTCAATAATAATAATAATAAACTCAAATATTTGTTTTGAAATAAATAAATTTATTCTAAGAAATCAATATTTCGATAAATTTGAATCTTTTTCATAGAAGAACAACAACAAACAATTATTGATCGAACAGAAACAAATTTACTAACACTTCATCGTACAATATATTTAACAATTCAATCAAGTATTGATGTTGATGAATGTGCACATGAATTACTTAAAATAAATATACGTCCAGGACAAGAAGTATGTACTTTTTTTTTGAAAATATTCAATAAATTTAATTGAATTTAAATTTTAGATTGAATTATGTCAAATGATTGTTGACAGTTGTGCACAACAACGAACATATGAACGTTTTTTTTGGTTTACTTGGTCAATGTTTTTGTTTATTCAAAAAAAGTATATGTTTAATGTTTTGAAAAGATTTTTCAAGATCAATATGAAATTGTTCATCGTCTTGAAAATGTTAAATTAAGAAATGTTGCAAAATTTTTTGCACATTTACTTGTTACTAATGCAATATCACGAAATGTATGTATTTGTTGAATGAAAAAATAAAAATAAAAAACAATCATAATTGTTTTCTAGGTACTTCATTGTATTCGTTTAACTGAACAAGATACAACATCATCATCACGTGTTTATATAAAAAAATTATTTTTGGAATTAATTGAATTTCTTGGTTTAAGTCAACTTAATAAACGTTTAACTGATTCGTAAGTAATTGAAAAATAAAACGATTAATTCCTATTGTTTTCTTTGTTTTATATTGTAGAACATTGGTAGAATATTTTCAAAATCTTCTTCCTTCTGATAATCCAAAAAATAGTTGATTTTCAGTCAATTTTTTTACATCAATAGGTCTTGGTGGATTAACGTAAGTATTGGATTTACTTAGAGCATTCCAAAAGTAGTGACAATGATACTTTAATACTGTATAGTAAGCTTGAAGAAATTTTCTTTTTTTATGTGGTGATAGAGAAAACAATGCTCTATTTTTCTGTGCTATTTGATCACTTCAACCAGGGATGCCACCTCATGAAGTCGAAAAAGCGGAAAGTTGACTCAGAAAAGCGGAAAATTGCGAAAAAAAAACAGAAAAAGCGGAAACTTATCTCGTTGCGGATTTTTAGCATTTATGACGATTTTCAACGTTTTTCATGTCTATAGCATTCTGTTTTTATTTTAACAAAATTGCAAAACATAAAAAAAGAAAATTTCTTCAAG